CGACATTCCAACTGAGGCCGGGATGAGAAGCGTCATCTCTTGGAAAAACCGACGTCGCTACCTTTCTACATTTCGCCCAACTACAAAAAGCCAACGATCAAACCTCAATGACAAACCCTCTAAACACGACCGATTTATTCGTTTTCCCAACAAAACAATCAATATCTCCACATGTTTTTTTAAACAGAGGCAAAAACCTGAACACACTGAAAGCGGACAGTGAGATTAGTGAAAGGCTATTGGCTGGCTTCCTTGGAAAATTTCTCTACTCGATTCATAAAACAGCGATCAGATAACAGGAAAACCGCAAACGCGGGAGTATTTTAAATCCCGATCTGCGATATAATTTCCGTAAATCAGATTACGAGGAATAACGCGTTAAATGATAATGCACGACGCGTATTACGTCATACAAGTAAATTACGTTGTTTCAAATACGATGCTTCGTTTAGCGGCTGTTTCTGTGACGAAGAAACATTACGAATCGTTAATTGTATTGGAACAAAAAAGATTTTCATCTACAATGATCGAAATAATAAATTCTCCAGCAAATACAATACCCGAGAGGCTGCTAGAAACTGAAAATTTTTATCAAAATTATAATAAAGTACAAATGCAACAAATCTTTATATGTATATATATATATATATATACACACACATTATGTTATATTATATATTATATATTACTAATAAATTATCTTCTGTTATTACCAATGTTACGAATTACAGATAAATTCGATGTTCTGTTTGAATAAAAATCTTCTGAATTAATGGCTTTTTTCTTATTAAGAATGACGAAAAAAGCTATAAAAAAAATATGATTTGATTTAAAGAAACGAGCTTGACTCATTAATTGATTAAACTTGGCCTTTTATGAGTATTCACATTAAAATGTGATGATTATATTAATTAAATGTACTTCTTGTCGAAAATATTTTTTAACATAATTGATCGTTCTTAAAATATTTCAATTTCTAGTCTTAGGTGACTCATCCGAACACACACACACACACACACACACACACACACACACACACACACAC